ATCTTTCCCCCTCAGCCTTCCGAGTAGCCGGAATTACACGCATGCGCTACCACGCCCGGCTGATTTTTTGATTTATTGTAGAGATGAGGTCTCGCTGCCCAGGCGGGTCTCGAACCCGCGAGCTCAGGGAATCCACTCACCTTAGCCTCCCAAAGGCGCGGGATTACAGGCTGAGCCACTGAGCCCGGCTTGGCTGAATTTTTTATGTATGCACTAGTATCATCTGTGAATAAAGAAAATGTACCCTCTTCCTTTCCAGATTAATCTTTATACATTTTAAACTATTTGTCTTAGTAGTTAATTCTTCCTTCCTCTGGATAATACCTCCAGTATAATGTGGAATCAAGCTGGTGCTGGGCATACTGTCTCATTCTCACCATTAGGATAAACGAAGTTGCAATTTCATCATTTAGTATTATGTTAGTTTTAGATTATTTTAGATACATTCTTTATCAGATTAAGGAAACTACTTTTTTTTTTTTTGAGTTGGAGTCTCACTCCGTCACCCAGACTGGAGTGCAGTGGCTGCTCCCGGTCACTGCAGCCTCGACTTGCTGGGCTCCGGCGATCCTTCCACCTTAGCCATCCAAGTAGCTGGAACTACAGGTGTGCGCTACCACGCCCAGCTAATTTTTGATTTATTGTAGAGATGAGGTCTCGCCAAGTTGCCCAGGCGGGTCACGAACCCACGGGCTCAGGCCATCCACTCACCTCAGCCTCCCAAAGTGCTGGGATTACAGGCTGAGCCACCAAGCCCAGCCAGGAAACTACTTTCTGTTCTTAGTTTGCCAACAGATTTTTTTATGCTTTTATTTTATTTCTTTATTTGTTTTTTGTTTTTTGAGTCAGGGTCTCACTCTGTCTTCCAGGCTGGAGTGCAGTGATGCGGTCATAGCTCACCGTACCCTTGACTTCCTGGGCTCAGGCCGTCCTTCCTCCTCAGCCTCTTGAGTGGCTAGGACTACAGGCACACACCACCATGCCTGGCTAATTTTTAAAATATTTTTTTGTAGAGACAAGTTCTCGCTATGTTTCCTAGACTGGTCTTATACACCTGGGCTCCAGTAGTCCACCAGCGTCGGGCTCCCAAAGTGCTGGGATTATAGGGTTAAACCACCATGTCTGACTATGAACTGTTTTTTATCCATGACCTGAAAGCCATTGTTTTCTTTATTTGTTCAATTTAATTTTTGCTTATGGAGGGAAAGTAATTTTAATATCAGCTACTTTATTGTGACTGAAACTGGAAACCTGAATTTTTCTTTAAAGAACTTGCTAAATATTTTGTAAAATCACTGGAATTGATAATATTTAAAACTTTAGGATTCAAAAGTTGTACTATAGAATAACTAAGTCACAGGGTTGCTTAAAGAATGTTTGATTCTTTTTTTCTTAGACATCACTCAGTGCTCTTACCCAGTTGATGAAAAAGATGCCCCATTTCCGTAAACAGATTACTAAGGTAAGTAGTGTTATGTATAAGATGGCTGGTATTTTTAGTTTTTTGGTCTATGCGGTTCTTTTGTTAAGTTTAGCAGTGGGTTTCATGGACTACTTACTGTTAGTTGTCCTCTAAAACCTTACTCAAGGGGTGAGAAATAAGCCATATATCCAAGCATCCTGATAGCTTCCCTATGCATATCTTCTAGATTTATCCAAATCCAACTTAAGCATTTTTATATCTTTGTCTTGATCAGCCTAACAGAATAACTTGAATATTAATCAACTTCATAAGAAAACTAAGCACTAGATTGGCCAGTGGTTTATTCTACACGTCTCTTTAAATTAATAGTTATTTATTAGTTGATTTAAGAGCATTTAAGCTGTGTGGTCAGCTAAGCTTTTTTTTTTTTTTTTTTTGCTGTTCCAATTCTGCTTACTTAGAAACAGAATAATCTTTACATATTTTTGTCATGATGCACCCTAGTCAAGGACCACTGATTAAAAATAGAAACTTTTTCTGTTGAACTTCAGAAACTACTATTTTTTTCTCCCCTTATTTTAATTTTGATTGATTGATTGATTGAGTCGGAGTCTCACTCTGTCACTCAGGCTGGAGTGTAGTGGCACACTCACCACAGCCTCAACCTGTGGGATCGGGTGATCCTTCTGCCTCAGCCTTCCAGGTAGCTGGAACTATAGGCGTGTGCCACCACGCCCAGGTAATTTTTTTGATTTATTGTAGAGACGAGGTCTCGCCATGTTGCCCAGGCTGGTCTTGAACCCGTGGGCTCAGGCAGTCCTCTCGCCTCCACCTCCCAAAGTGCTGGGATTACAGGTGTGAGCCACTGCACCCAACTCTCCTCTTATTTTTCATCTCTCTGAAATTCAACACAAATTCTGCCTTCCAGTCTGTCTTTGCCTCTGTTGATTGTCCCATGGATCACCCTCCCACTTCCTTCTTTGGGCTGTTCCCAAACTAACATGATACTTTCTTTCAGGCCTGTCTCAAAGATTTAATATTACTAGTTGCACAAAAAGGAAAGTGCTTTAAATGAGGGATTTCTTCTGTTTTTCAGCAAGTTGTCCATCTTAACTTAGCAGAAGATTGCATGAATAAGTTCAAGCTTAATATAGAAAAACTCTGCAAAACTGAACAGGTATGTACAGAGTCAGAAGTGCCACACTCATAATGGATTCCCGAATGCACTTTGTAAGTTGAGACCTAACTTTTTTCCTGGTACTGTGGTTGATTTTTACGGACTCTTTCTTGGCAGGGGACCACCTAGACAGTGTCTAACACATCATTCCTCACCACATTAACAAATGATTAGATAGTATCATAGGAAACAGTCTGTCCTAATTTGTGGTTACACATTTTTGGTTGAATGGGATAGTTTCAGTTTTTAGAGCATTATTTCAGGGTAGCGTCGTTGTAGCATGTGAGTTAGCACCCTCCAGGGCACTGCAGAGGCACATTTGACCTGCTTTAAGAGGTTTTTTGTATAATACCTCAACTGTTATTGCCTCTTAATAGAAATAGAATACAAAATAGAATACAAACTGCATGTCATTTTAAGTATTCTAGTAGCCGCATTACAAAGATAAAAAGAAAGATGTGCAATTAATTTTAAATAATATATTTGACTTATCCTGATACATCCAAAACATTATTTTAGCATGTCATCAATATAAAAATTATTAATGAGCTACTTTGCATTTTTTTTCTTTACACCAAGTCTTCAAGAGCTAGTCTTGGCACCTATAGCACATCTCAAGTAGATTGACAGCATTTCAAGTGCTCGGTAGCCACATTGACAAGTGACAAGGGTTAAATTTGTGAATTTCATCTTCTCTCATTTATTTTTGACCCTTCACAATTTGTTTTGTTTTGTTTTTAAGTCAGAGTCTCACTCTGTGGCCCAGACTGGAGTGTAGTGGCATGCTGTAGTGGCATGCTCATGGCCACCGCAGCCTCGACCTGCTGAGCTCAAGCCATCCATCCATCTCAGCCTTCCAAGTAGCTGATACCACAGGCGCACACCACCAGGCCTGGCTAGTTTTTGCTTTATTGTAGAGTCAAGGTCTCACCAAATTGCTGGACTGGTCTCAAACCCCTGGGCTCAGGCAGACCTCTCGCCTCCACTTCCCAGAGTGCTGAGATTACAGGTGTGAACTACCACACCTGACTGACCTTTTGCATTTTGTACAGCCAGTAGTTTACAAGTGATGGTCACATTTTCCTGTTAAAGGTTATTAGTGTTCCATTAAAATTTGACAATAGATGTTTTAATTTAAAGTGTTTAATGATAAATGTTTTAATGGGGTTTTTAATTACAAATAAAATAGATGTTTTGTAGACCACTGACAATCTTACCTTCACTTAGGACCTGGCACTTGGAACTGATGCCGACGGACAAAAGGTGAAAGATTCTATGCGAGTCCTCCTTCCAGTTCTGCTCAACAAGAGTCATGATAATCATGATAAAATAAGAGCAATCCTGCTTTATATCTTCAGTATTAATGGTAATGAAGATTTTGTTTATCTTCATGAATGCATTAAAATATCCAGGTCTAAAATCACTCTTCAATAAATGACTTACTGTTGGTCATAAGAGAATCTTTGAAAACTGAAAGACAGTAGCTGAAGTTGGTTAAGATCAATGAAAGGGCAGGCATGGGGGTGTACCTGTGGTCCCAGCTACTCAAGAGGCTGAAACAGGAGGACCACTTGAGACCATGAGAACTGGACTGTACATGCTGCTGATAGGGTGTCTGTACTCAGTTCAGCATCAGTGGTAACTGATGCTCAGTTCAGGAGGGGTGAACCAGCCCAGGATGGCCATGGTGCAGGTCAGGATTCCCCTGTCTACCCATCAGGAGTGGGATTGCACCTATGACTAGCCACTGTACTCTGGCCTGGGCAACACAGCAAGGCCCTGTCTCTTAGAAAAATAAGAGTAAATAAATAAAAGAAAAATATGAAATTAAGAGAAGACTAAAGGAGATATAATTTGGCTGTTTCCTTTTGTTTAAAAAGCTTTAATCTTGAGTAGTATCTAAAACCTAGAAATGATTGCAGTACAGTTATGTACTCATATTTTTGCTTATCCAAGGAACTACAGAAGAAAATTTGGACAGGTTGATCCAGAACGTAAGGATAGAAAATGAGAGTGACATGATTCGTAACTGGAGTTACCTTGGTGTTCCCATTGTTCCCCAAGTAAGAAATCCTGTGTTGGGTGTGTGCTTACATATGTATGTGTGATTGTTTGCATTGATTGTTTTTTTGAAGTGAGAATCCATGTGGACAGTCTTCCTAACTTCACTCCATAGATCTTGATTGTTAAGTAAGCGATTAAACATTTTGTTTCCTTGACTTTTCCATATGTGAGTAATTTGGACAAATATACTTTTCTAGTGAATTCGTATTTTATGGACTTCTGTCATAATGTACTACTTATACTTTTCTCATTATTCATTATTCATTTATAGCAATTTTTATATTTTAATTAAACATTTAACCTTTATAATATGGCATATTCTCTTGCTTAAAAAATTTAGACTTAAAGTCAAATTTGGAAGAACTCTATTTAGAATTTCACTCTTTCCCACCAAGTTTTATACTTTCATTTAAATAAATATATTTCTGTTACAATTATAAATTTTAGCATTAGGCTGGGCACAGTGGCTCATGCCTGTAATTCCACCACTTTAGGAGGCTGAGGTGGGAGAATTGTTTAAGACCAGCCTAGGTAACATAGTGAGACCTCATCTCTATAAAAAATTAGTCGGGCGTGGTGGTGCATGCTAGGGAGGCTGAGGCGGAAGGATAACCCTGAGCCCAGCAGGTCATGGCTGCCGTGAACTGTGATGTTGTGCCACTGCACTCCAGCCTGGGTGATGGAATGAGACCTCAACTCAACAATTACAGCAACCGAATTTTAGAATTAAAGCACAAAACACTGTTGTGAAGTTACATGATCATATCTATTCAGACTTTTAAAAGTAGGCATTTCCGCTCTTAGTTTCTAAGTCAAATACAGTATGGTATTTGCTGGTGAATTAAGTACCTTTGTTAGAAAACATAATAAGAGTATTATACTACTGAATAAAATGACTAGTTGTTTTTTTTTCCCTCTAATTATATTAGTCTCAACAAGGTAAACCATTAAGAAAGGATCGGTCTGCAGAAGAAACTTTTCAGCTTTCTCGATGGACACCTTATATCAAAGATATTATGGAGGTGAAATCATTAAATTGTGTCTTCCAATTGAGTGCCATTTATGGTGTGTTCTTTACTCTCTGTATGTTTCACTGTCTGAGCAGCTCTTGGGCAGGCATTTTCTCTCATGCTTAGAGTCACAAAAGAAGGCTGTATCTGGGGTCAAGGGAGGAGAGTAAACTCTTGAAGGTTCTTTGTTTCCTTGAAGACCTCAAACAAACACCTCTGACTATCCCAAAATAAAGAAATAAAAATAAGAACACATATACTTTATGAAAAACCTTACTATTGTTTTTAAAACTATATGTAGCATACACATAATTTGAATTAAAGTTCAACAAAATATGTATATGTACTACTTTTAAAAAGAGTTAGATGCAGTATTTCTGGAAGTATATTTTTGATTAAAATGTAAGCCTCATTATCGTGCTTTTAGATCTAACAGATGACTAATGCCTTAGTACTGTTTGCATTTTGAAAACATTAATCGGTTACAGGAAATTATAGAACGAGCTAATTAAAAAACTACCTTATGAGCTAAATAAAATCATGACACTAACTTCGGTCATAATCATATCGTTCAGTTTATTTCCATTTTCTTTTCTAATTTCCCTGGGAGATAATTTTGTTGTTTTTATGTTTTGGTTTTGGGAGCTAATTTTGCACATATGTATGTATTACTATGGTTTTTCTGTTTTGCTTGGCTAATTTTATGTCATTCACACATACGTGAGCTTAAGTACATGAAAAGTCTAAAGAATTTATATTTTGTTTTCTGCCACATAAGGATTTTTTAACCCTTTCTCCCAATGATAATGTAAACTTAATTCATTTCTGTTGGCTAGTATTTTTAAAATAAGAATTGTGAATGCTTTATTAAGGATTTGCATGTTAAATTCAGAAAATACACATTTGGATCAGTGGCAATCTTAGGCCTTTAGAATTTCTCATGAAACTTGTTTTTTTTTTTTTTGGCCGGGCTTGGTCTGTAATCCCGCGCTTTGGGAGGCCAAGGTGAGTGGATTGCCTGAGCCTGCGGGTTCGAGACCCACCTGGGCAACTTGGCGAGCCCTTATCTCTACAATAAAATTAAAAAATCAGCTGGGCATGGTAGCGCATGCCTGTAATTCCGGCTACTCGGAAGGCTGAGGCGGAAGGATTGCCAGAGCCCAGCAGGTCGAGGCTGCGGTGGCCGAGAGCGGCCACTGCACTCCAGTCTGGGTGACAGAGTAAGACTCCAACTCAAAAAAAAAAAAAGAAACATGTTTTTTTAACTTTGTGCAGTCTTACTGAAGTATTCTTGGACTATTGAGGACTTTGTACCCACTCTTGGTACCCACTGGTTAATACTATTTGTACTACCATGCTGTAAGATAGTGGTCTCCAGACTTTTTAGATCATGCACACCGAACTATAAAAAATGTGAGCATGAACCTGTTTGTTTATAAATTATATATTACTATATTAACGGAACAATCTGTGTATGCAGTATACTTACATATATAAGTATATCATAAAATGTAACACTGAAAAAAGGGAATATTTTTTAAAAGGAAGTCTTCCCACATCCCATTGGATTGTCTTGGATACTCCTAGGCCAGGTATGTGTGTCCTATTTTAAAGCCACTGCCACGAAGGGCAAAACCTTAGAGGTGTGTCAGGACCAGGATGGTGTTTAGAAATCCCTGGCACTCCAGAGCTAACAACCTTGACAGGGTGCCTGGAATTTTGACATCAATGTGGGGACCCTTCAGTGAAGAAGGGAGGCACATGGTACATCTTGTTTTAGTAAGTAAATGATTACATGAATTTTTGAAGCAAATAAGATTTGTGAGTTTCAAAGACAAATCCAATCTTATTATATTAAATATTTATATATCTTTAAGGTTCCTTAATTATGCAAGTTTTGACCTTTATGCAAAACAAGTCCCAGAAGTTACAACATATCCTTGATGTTAACTTTTCTCTTCCCTAGGATGCCATTGACAATAGATTAGATTCAAAAGAATGGCCATATTGTTCCCAGTGTCCAGCGGTGTGGAATGGCTCAGGAGCTGTAAGGTAAACCCTACACATGGAAGTCAGTGACATTTTCAGTGTGATTCTGTAGATTAACAATTTAAAATGACACATGGGTACTCTTATGTTTGGCAACTCTTTGAAGCTGTCATGTAGTTTTTTTTTAACCTGTTTTACATGAGTCCAGATAAGCAATAGGAAAACATACTTTATTATAAAAAATATTTTTTTTTTTTTTTTTTTTTTTTTTTTTGAGTTGGAGTCTCACTCTGTCGCCCAGACTGGAGTGCAGTGGCCGCTCCCGGCCACCACAATCTCGCCTGCTGGGCTCCGGCGATCCTTCCGCCTCAGCCTTCCAAGTAGCTGGAATTACAGGCATGCGCTACCACGCCCGGCTGATTTTTTGATTTATTGTAGAGATGAGGTCTCGCTGCCCAGGCGGGTCTCGAACCCGCGGGCTCAGGCAATCCACTCACCTCAGCCTCCCAAAGGCGCGGGATTACAGGCTGAGCCACCGAGCCCGGCTATAAAAAATATTTTTATGAAAGTAAACTCATTCCCTTCCTCCCCTTCCTTCTTCACATAGCAGAGGGCTTAATCGTTTTTGATCTTTTTTTTTTTTTTTGAGTTAGAGTCTCACTCTGTCACCCAGACTGGAGTGCAGTGGCCGCTCCTGGCCACCGCAGCCTCGACCTGCTGGGCTCCGGCGATCCTTCCGCCTCAGGCTTCCAAGTAGCTGGAACTATAGGCGTGCGCTACCACGCCTGGCTAATTTTTTTTTTTTTTTTGATTTATTGTAGAGATGCGGTCTCGCCAAGTTGCCCAGGCGGGTCTCGAACCCGCGGGCTCAGGCAATCCTCTCACCTCAGCCTCCCAGAGCGCTGGGATTACAGGCTGAGCCACCGAACCCGGCTTGATCATTTTTTTAATGAAGTACTTGGAACATTCAGAAATATGTAGTGAATGTTAGAATGCGTACTCATCTATACCCAGTGCCTGGCATATCAAATCATTATCAAGGCAATTCAGGCTTCCTGTGTATCAGTCCCTGGTTTTATTACTGTCCCTTTTTTTTTTTTTGAGTTGGAGTCTCACTCTGTCGCCCAGACTGGAGTGCCGTGGTACGCTCCCGGCCACCGTAGCCTCAACCTGCTGGGCTCCAGCGTATATCCTTCTACCTCAGCCTTGGACTACAGGTGTGCGCTACCATGCCCGGCTAATTTTTGACTTATTGTAGAGATGAAGTCTCGCCAAGTTGCCCTGGTGGGTCTCGAACTCATGGGCTCAGGCAATCCACTCGCCTCAGCCTCCCAAAGTGCTGGGATTACAGGCTGAATCATCGAGCCCAGCCCTCCCTTTCTTTTCAGTCCTGGTGTTTATCACCTACATGTCTTTCTCCTTTTTCTAATATATTTGTATCCTAAACAATGTCTTGAGTTGTATTTTGCAGGATATTCTCTTAGTCTTTGGCCTTCAGCAGTTTAACTACGTTGTGTCTGGGTATAGTTCTCTTTGTGTTTATTCTACATGGGGTTTGTTGAATTTCTTGGATCTGTAGGTTAATAATTTTCATCAGATTTGGAATATTTTCATGCATTATTCCTTTTTTTTTTTTTTGAGTCAGAGTCTCACTGTCATCCAGTGTAGTAGCGTAGCACACTGTTCACAGCCACCGCAGCCTCAACCTGCTGGGCTCAGGTGATCCATCTGCCTCAGCCTTCCAGGTAGCTGGAACCACAGGCACATGCCACCACACCCAGCTAATTGTTTGATTTATTGTAGAGACAAAGTCTCACCATGTTGCTCATGCTGGTCTCAAACCCCTGAGCTCAGGCAGTCCTCTCACCTCTGCCTCCCAAAGTGCTAGGATTACAGGCATGAGCCTCTGCATCCAGCTTCAAGCATCATTTCTTAGAAATGATTTCTTTCCCCTTTCTTTCTTTCTGAAAGTCCTATTCAGAGAAGTTAGAGGGCCTCACATTGTCCTGTGCGTCACTGAGGCTCTTTTCTTTTATCATTTTTCTCTCTGTTCTTCAGATTTGGTAGCACCTCTTGGTCTGTCTCCAGGTTTACTGATTCTTCTGACATCTCAGATGTGCTGTTCAGCTCACCTAGTGAATTTTTTGTTACTATACTTTTTCACAGTTAGCCTTTCTGTTTAGTTCTTTATTAGTTTTCATTTCTCAGTTGAGATTCCCTATTGATTAGCTTTTTTTTTTTTTTTTTTGAGTTGGAGTCTCACTATGTCACCCAGACTGGAGTGCAGTGACATGCTCATGTCCATCACAGCCTCAACCTGCTGGGCTCAGGTGATCCTTCCATCTCAGCCTTCCAAGTAGCTGGAACCAGAAGCATATGCCACCATGCCTGACTGATTTTTTAATTTATCGTGGAGACAAAGTCTCGCCATGTTGCTCAGGCTGGTCTTGAGCCCCTAAGCTCAGGTAATCCTCTCACCTCTGCCTCCCAAAGTGTTGGAATTATAGGCGTGAGCCACCATGTCCAGTCCTGTGGGTTAACTTAATGTCAGCATATTTTTCATTTTACGTCTTTGATCGTACTTATAATAACTGCTTTGAAGTCCCCAACATCTGGGTCTATTCAGGGTCAGTTTTCAGTGAAGGCTTTTTTTCCTCAAGTGTGGGTCACACATTCCTCTTTCTTTGCATAACTATTGATTTTTCATTGAAAATTGCACCTTTTAGATAATGTAGCAACTCTGAATTTTTTGTTTCAGTAACTTGTGTGGATTTAAACCATGAACTCTTTCTCTCTTGCTGGGTGTAGCCACTGATGTCCTTGTTGAGTTTTTTAAATTTTAATGTTTTAGCTTCTCAATTCATTGTCTTCCTGTGGTTGATTTCCAGTTGACCTGAAATGTTTTGTTTTGTTTTCTCCCACAATTTTATCTAGGTATATAATTGTTTACTTGGAGAGGAATCTCCTGACCACCTTATTCCTCCATGACCACAAGACCTCTCCATATTATATTTTTAGATTTAATATAAATGATGTCACATTGTGTGTATCCTCCTGCAACTTACTTGTTTTGTTTCCTTTACATTATGTTTATGAAATTTATGCCAGATTGAGATTGATACATCCATAAACTTTCACTACTAGTTGGCATATAGTTATATGAGTATAACAATTTTGACTGCCTGGGCAGCATAGGCAAGACCTTCATTTCTACAAAAAATAAAAAAACTAGCCAAGCATGGTGGCTCATGCCTGTAGTCCCAGCTACTCAGGAGGCTGAGGTGGGAGAATCGTCTGAGCCCAGGAGGTCAAGGCTGCTGTGAACTATGATTATGCCACTGTACTCCAGCCTGGACGACAGAGTGAGACCCAGATTCAAAAAAATATATTTTCCACATGATGGATATTTAAGCTGTGTCAAAACTAGCATCATTACAAACAGTAGGCAGGGAGCATTCTTGTCCATTTACATGTATTTGGGTGCTTAGGGTGTTTCTCTTAGACTGAGGACTTTTTCTTTCGTTTTATTTTTTCCTTTGCTACTGGTTTAGAAGTTATATAGTTTTTATTCTTGAAGCAAGTTGTCTTTAGAATCTTATTATACCTGTTTGACTTAACAAAGCCAGATTAAGTAGTATCTCTGCCCTCCTCTTGAACAATACAACCTTAGACCTGCATGATACAAACCACATGCCCCTTAAATACTTCTTCATAATATTTCATTTTTGTTCGCCTTATATGATCAACATTATCGGTGTGTGTTTTTTTTAATTTAGCTGTTTGTGCTTGTTAGCCAGTTTAGTTGCTCACCCACCACTGCTCTTGTGGGCTCAGCTACCTTCTTTCTGAAGGGTATTCTGTAGAAGTTCCTTTAGTGTAGATCTGTTGGTAGTAGAGTCTTTATGGTTTTGTTTGTTTGAAAATATCTTCATTTAGACCAGGTGCAGTGGCTCATGCTTGTAATCCTATCCCCTGAGCCCAGAAGGTTGAGGCTGTGGTGAGCTGTGATTGTGCTGCTGCACTCCAGCCTGGGAGACAGAGTGAGGTTCTGACTCAAAAAAAAAAAAAAAAGAAAGAAAATGACTTTATTTGGTACTTGTTCGTACGTGACAGCTTTAGCCAGCTGTGAATTTCTAGGTTCTAAGTTACGTTCACTCAACACCTGTAGATGAAACTCTGCCATTCCTAGGGGTCTACTTCAGCTTTTGGGAAGATTAATGGAGGTGTGTCTTCTGTCTTGTCATCCTTTGTGGATTATTTGCCTTTTTTCTCTGGTTACTTTTTTGTCTTTGGAATTCTGCACATTCCTATGCTGTGTCTACCTGAGGACCGGTTTTTCTTTCTTTCCTTGGACTCATTTACATTTTCCAGATCTGAGGATTTCCATCTTCCATGAATCCTTCCAACAGGGCCACTTCTGCAGCCTCTTTTGTGGGAGCATCTTATGATCTCTTCATGTCTTAAGTTTTTTCATTTCTTCTACTTTCTGTGTTTTTTTCCTCTGGAACTTTTTCTTCATGTGTGATTTTCAATTTGGTTCTCTCTTAAACCTGTGTCCATTCTGCTGTGTAACCTCTTTTCTGTTTTCTGTGACTTTTTCAACTTGTTTTCTTATTAAATATGAGCCAGGCATGGTGGCTCACGCCTATAATCCCAGCACTTTGGAAGGCTGAGGTGAGAGGATTACCTGAGCTCAAGGGCTCAAGACCAGCCTAGGCAATTTGGTGAGACCTCATCTCTATAATAAATAAAAAGAATTAGGCCAGGTGCGGTGGCTCACGCCTGTAATCTCAGCACTTTGGGACAACAAGGCGAGAGGATTGCCTGAGCCCAGAGGTTCGAGACCAGCCTGGGCAACTTCGTGAGACCTCGTCTCTACAATAAATCAAAAAATTAGCTGGGCATGGTAGAGCGCACCTGTAGTTCCAGCTACTTGGAAGGATCGCCTGAGACTAGCAGGTGACGCTGGGGTGGCTGTGAGTGTGCCACTGCACTCCAGCCTGGGTGACAGAGTGAGACTCCAACTCAAAAAAATACATGTATATATATAAGTATATATATATTAGCCGGGTGTGGTGGCTACTTGGAAGGCTGAGGCGGAAGGATCACCTGAACCCAGCAGGTTGAGGCTGCAGTGGCCATGAGCGTACCACTGTACTCTAACCTGGGTGACAGACAGAGTGAGACTCTGACTTCAAAAAAAAAAAGGCTTAGACTTTTTGCCATTTCCTGTTTGTCATGCTTTCTGTCCCAGTGTATTGTCCCTTATCATTTTACAGATACTTAAAATGTGTTTTCTGGGTCTCATAATTTCACTATCTTACATTCTTTGGGGTCTAATCCTGCAGCCTCGAATTTCAACAGCCTCTTACCTACTTCTTTATGTGCTTTGTAACTTTGAATTTTGAGCTTATTTTGTTGACTGGGGTTGAGAGTGAGTCGCTTCAGAGAGGTTTGGCATGTGCTTCCACCAGGCTAGAGTTTCTGTTGTTAATTTCTCAGCTTGGTGTTCCTCGGACCTCGAAGGTCACGTGGTGAGCACATCAGACCCTCATAAGGCAGACCTGGCTTGTGATTAATAGAGGAGACGCTTCTTTACATGCCCTGGCCCTTGAAGGTGAAGTGGTGGTGCAGGTGAGAGGCCCACAGCCTGTATTGCACAGCACCAAGGGCTTGGCTTCTTGCTTGCTGAGATCTGAAATCCCCCAAAGCAGCCCCGGCCTCAGCTCAGTTGACCACCCCAGTGCTTGCCTTCATTTTTACCACTGACCCCGGGGATTGTGCCAGCTTGTCTATTCTAAGTTGTGCTTTAAAACATGTGTGCTCTTATTTTATCCAGTGCTGAGAGGTTATTTAGAGGGAGGTTCCCAGGATCCGGAGATTTAATCATTTTTGTATCTCTCAGTCTTACACATGTATGTGAAACCAATTAAATATAATCACATTGTCCTAAAATTGCTGTTTACAAGTTTGAAAATTGTTAAAATCATGATTGTTTTGAGCAGTATCTCCTTTCCTTTTGTTTTCTTACTCTTTTTCTCTCTTTTGAAAAAGTTTTAAAGCTGAAGTTGCATTTTTAATGTCCTTATTTTGTATGGGAACAAGAGTGTATCTTATTCTTGTTTTATCTTTCAAAAGCAACTGCTGATTTTTAAAATGTTTTCCTGTTGTTTACCTCATCATGATAGGTACAGACCAGGCACTGTGGCTCATACCTGTAATCCCAGCACTTTGGGAGGCCAAGTTGGGAGAATCTCTAGAGCCCAGGAGTTTGAGACCAGCCTGGGCAAAATAGCGAGACTCCTGTCTCTACAAAAAATACATACACAAAAAAATTAGCCAGGCATGGTGGTGCACATCTGTAGTCCCAGCTACTCGGGAGGCTGAGGTGGGAGGATGGCTTCATCCCAGGAGTTCAAGACTGCAGTAAACTGTGATCGCACCATAGTGTAGCCACTAACCACATGAAGCTGTTTAAATTTAGTTGCACCTGGCTTGGGCAACATAGCAAGACCCTGCCTCGCCAAAGATAAACAAGTAAGTGGTAGGTGGACATGATCACGTGGAAGGCCGGACTAAGAACATTAATGAAAGTTTGCCGAGCCTGTAATCCCGCGCCTTGGGAGGCTGAGGTGAGTGGATTGCCTGAACTTACAGGTTCGAGACCCGCCTGGGCAACTTGGCGAGACCTCATCTCTACAATAAATAAAAAAAAATCAGCCGGGCATGGTAGAGCGTGTCTGTAATTCTGGCTACTCGGAAGGCTGAGGTGGAAGGATCACCGGAGCCCAGCAGGTCGAGGCTGTGGTGGCCAGGAGCGGCCACTGCACTCCAGTCTGGGTGACAGAGTGAGACTCCAACTCAAAAAAAAAAAAAAAAAAAAGTTTGCTGTGGGGCCAGGTCCAGTGGCATGTGCCTATAGTCCCAGCTACTTGGGAGCCGATGTGAGAGGATGGCTTGAGCCAGAAGTTTGAGGCTGTTGTGCCCTATGATGGCATGGGTAAGTAGCCGAGGCACTCCAGCCTGGGGAACATAGCGAGACCTCATCTCTAAAAGCCAAACACAACAATAGTTTTCATGAGATCCTATACTGCATCGCCTTCTAAATGATCTCTAACCATGACTTTCAAAGTAGGTAGCAATTTGGTTTGTTTTTGCCTAAAAAGGAGAAATTAAGCTTTGCTGACATTCACTGGTACAGATGCATAATTTATAAATGAATATGTACTTACTTATAAATGTACATAAGAGCTTATTTTGAATACTTACTTTTCAAATAAAACCTTACAATGTTTACTCCAGTAGAGATGTGAACAGAGAAAACAGCCCTGTGCCCTAGAGCAGTGTCGTCCAGTAGGCCTCTCTGCCAGGATGGAAACAGTCTGTATTGACACTGTCCAGCATTCTGGCCACTCGCCACATGCAGTGCTGGGGGCTTGACTTGTGGCTGGCATGAAGCGGGGGACTGTGTTTCTTGTTGTATTGAATTTTAACTAACTCTCAGGAGCCTCGTGTGGCTGGCGGTGGCTGCAGAGTGCAGGTCTAGAGCGATCTGGGGAGTAAATGGTGACAGGAAAGGCTGCCGCTCACTGCTGGGTACCAGATCCCATGCTTGTGTGATTTCATTTCATCCTCTTACAGTTGCAGCCTTTTAGGTTTAGTAGTTGAGTGACTGCTGACCGTCATGCGGAGTCCAAAGGAAGCAGGATGAAGGCTGAAGCCTGGGCCTCTCCTCACCCAACCTCCGGCCACATCAGCTCCACAGCAGGGCCCTTCCCCTTCGTGTTGTCTCAGACCTGCTGTGGCCAGGCGCGGTGGCTTACACCTGTCATCCCAGCACTTTGGGAGGCTGAGGCGAGAGGACTCCCTGAGCCCAGGGGTGTGAGACTAGGCTGGGCAACATGGCGAGAGCTTGTCTCTACAGTCGATCAAATCAGCCAGTCATGGTGGTGTGCACCTGTAGTCCCAGCTACTTGAGAGGCTGAGGCAGAAGGATCACCTGAGCCCATCAGGTCGAGGCTGCAGTAGCCATGATGGTGCCACTGCACCCCAGCCTGGGAAGCAGACCTAGATTCCAACTCAAAAAAAAAAAAAAAGCAACTTACTGTTAGTGCTACACCTCCAATTATTTGTTTTAATTTCAAGAAGTCACAGGCTTTTCAGGTGAATTATTTCTTCTTATGAAATAAATAAAGGAGGATGTTAGCTCTACTTTATAGCTAAAAATGCTAAGCCAGATTTTGATCGATTTGACAAAATTGAAACTTGAAATGGGACAGTCCTGCCTCGTGTGGTCATGCCACAGCTAAGTCATTTCGTTAAAAATCACTATAATTGTGCAAGCTTGAGTTGGATTGAGTTAAGTTGTTTAAAAGTCTATAAATGTTATGGCTTTGGGAATGTTTTTAACATGTTTGCTAATTTTTTTTACCTTTTAGTGCTCGCCAGAAACCCAGAGCTAATTATTTAGAGGATCGAAAAAATGGTTCAAAGCTGATTGTTTTTGTAATTGGAGGAATGACATACTCTGAAATGCGCTGTGCTTATGAAGTTTCTCAGGCACATAAATCCTGTGACGTTATTATTGGTAAGACTTCTGTTTTCCACTTTTATTTTTAAAAGCAAACTCTGCAAAAATGTACATGTAAAACTTTGTCTTGTGTTAAAGCCTTATACATGTAAGACTAAATTGACAAATGCAAAAAATTTTTTAACCATAGAAGTGTTATCCTTTTTTTTTTTTTTAACTTTTAATTTTTTTATTTTAAAGATGTGGGGCACAATTCAGGGTTAGGTATACAAATGCAAGTACCCTTGTTGATGAGGTGTGCCCCCCCTTCCCCAGGCAGATTCCCACTACTGCCAATCCTGCTTCCCTGAGAAATGTGGTTATATGATGTACTGAAATTTTTTTTCTGGTTGACTTTTTGGTAATTTTATTTTTAAATATTCTGATTTTGGGGAAATGAGAAATGAGTTTGTTCCTTTAAAATATTATGTTCTGTGATTTCATTTGCTCTCATCATTAAATAATCTTTAAAGCATAAATATATTTTTACTTCAAAACTATTCTGAATCTGGGTGCGGTGACTCATGCCTATAATCCCACTGCTTTGGGAAGCAGAGGCAAGAGGATTGCCTGAGTCCGGGGGTTCAAGACCAGCCTGGACAACTTGGTGAGACCTCGTCTCTACAATAAATCAAAAAATTAGCCAGGCATGTTGGCATGCACCTGTGGTTCCAGCTACTTGGAAGGCTAACGTGGAAGGATGGGCTGAGCCCAGCAGGTCGAGGCTGCAGTGGCCATGAGCATGCCACTGCATTCCAGCCTGGGCAACAGTGTGAAACTCCTACTAAAAAAAAAGTCAGCCTAACCTGGTGGCACACACCTGTAGTCCTAGTTACAGGTCGCTTGGGTGACTGAGATGGGAGGATCCCTGGAGCCCAAGAGTTTGAGGTGTAGGGAGCTATAAGCATGCCACTGCACTCCAACTTGGGTGTCAAAATGAGACCCTGTCTCTACAAAAATATATGTATTTTTTTATATGTTGAGTTTTTTGTGGCTATGACTTGACATTGGCAAGGCCTCTATGGAATTGAGTTTTAAGAATTTCAGTCCCAGCCACTGATGCGTAGACTCTACCGACCCACAGAGGTGCTGACCTGCACATCAAACCTCGATCTGCAGCACAGCTTAGTGGTTCTCTGCCTTTGACCAACAGCTATTGCAGTTCTGAGGATGAAGTAATCCCAGTTTGCTCTTCAGTGTACCTATCCAGCCAAAGGCCATTAAGCACTAGGAGTGGGCAATGGCTCTGAAGAGTTACTGAGCATGCTTAGTGATGGGGAAGGGTCGAAACACTGTAGTATAGGCAGATTTCAGGAAGATGGCATATAGAAATTGCCAAGCTACTGTACTTTGCATATTTAAAGGACAATACAGTATATTAAACCAAGGAAAATTGACTTAAGTGCTGGCCTCTGAAAAGCTCTCTTTTCTCCTACCAGGTTCGACACATATTTTAACACCCAAAAAGCTGTTGGATGACATAAAGATGCTAAATAAACCCAAGGACAAAATCTTACTTATTAAGGATGAATAATCTTTCTTCTTGGGGGTTTTAGAAATTCTTATTAATATGCTGAACTAAAATAGAACAAGAAAACGTTGCTATCATATAATTTAAACCATGTAAATATTTTATGGAGTAATGACTTTTCAAATACATTTCTTAAGGGACTCTTGATGATTATGTATTGTTGGATTTGCCGTTTTTGGTAATTTAAATATTGTTGCTGCTTTGTAGATAATGAATGTTAAAATGCTTTCTAAAAGGACTTTTTCTCACCTTTGGAACAGAACATATTAAAGCTGTGGGTCGTTTTCCACAACCTTCTATGTACATACTAATTACTCACTGAATACTCACATCTAAGTGTCTCACACCAAAGTAGAGTTTTTTGGGAAAGAATGATTTTAAAGAAAAAGTTGTAAAGGTAAATCTGTAAATGTGTGTGTATGATAAGATTATTTCCTGTGAGTGCAGTTTTTCTTTCAACTGAAATACACATTCTTTTATGTAAAATAATTGTCATTAATAAAAACAGAATGATCTCGCAGTGTATACTATCATGCTAGCTACTTCTAAAGAACACAATTATATATTATTTCGAGATAATGTATGTTTAGAAAACCAAAAATAATCATAAGCATTCTAAGAGGTAATAAATATATGGTTTCAAAACGTATCCTAATGTGTTTTTTCTTGGTGGGAGGGACAAGAATTGGGAAATTCAAAAGTTCTAAATTAGAATTACAGGGTAGAAAAAGAATGTACCATAATATTCCCACTGTTTTTTTTTTTCCAAAATAATGTCATATGTGTATCAGGTTAAACGACATATGTCTGCAGATGTGTCTGTGCGACACAAAGGGAGCATCTTTATTTCAAATCTTTTTGCTTGGCCTCACAGCATTCTGTCATAGGGTGGGCCAGAATTTCGTACTTCACTGATGCTCAGAGCTGTGAGCCTACAGACAATGCCTTTGGAAACTTGCACAAACAATCCCATAATGTGAATTCCTAGCAGTGACATGGCTGGCCAGAGGATGTGTGCATTTAAATATTGACAGTACCATTGAAAATGTTTATGTGGGCGAGTCCATCACTTTTCCTTTGGGGCTTTTGAATTTCATGCCTTGCTTAGATCTCCCTTCCACACTCAGAATTGTGAATTCAGCCTTGGTTTCTTCTAGAACACTTGGTTGATTCATTTCCGTTTCCACAGGTAGCTCCTCCATCCATTTGGAGTGACTTTAGTGTAAGAACAGTGCTGGTTGCCATCTCTTAGCACTTGGTCCTGTGTCCCTTGCCTCCCCACCCCCACCTCAGGGGACGAAAAGCTGAACGTGATGTTTTGCAGCCTCCAAGGCACGGAGGGTCTGAACAGTTTAGACTCTGCCACTCATGGGCACGTAGTGAAGATCTGGAAGGTAGAAAGAGGGTGAAGGCCAGCTCCCGATGCTGTGCCAGTGGTAGTTACTTATAGCAACCAGTCTCCACTTGTTAGTGTCACCTGCTTCCTGGAACAAGGCAGGGGTGTGGTGGCAGACCTGGCCTCCTATCCTGTGGTTACAGATGCTGATGGTACCTCCAGCCTCCCGTTTCTGCCCCTCCAGCTTTTCCAATGATTTTGTAAGGACCTAATTCTCTGTATTAGTTTTTTTTTTTGTTTTTTTTTTTTTTAGAGACTAGGTCTTACCTGGTTGCCCAGACTGGTCACGAACCCTTGGGCTTAGGCAGTGCCGGGATTACAGGTGTGAGCCACTCTGCTTGGCAGTTTTCTTTCTTTTTTTTTTGAGTCGGAGTCTCACTCTGTCACCCAGACTGAGGTGACATGATCACAGCACAGCCTGGACATGTTGGGCTCAGGGAATCCTTCCACCTCAGCATCCCAAGTAGTTGGGACTATGGACGTGTGCCACCATGCCCGGCTGATTTCTTGCTGTGTTGCCCAGGCTGGTCTTAAACTCCTGGGCTCAAGCAGTCTTTCCACCTTGACCTCTCAAAGTGCTGAAATTACAGGCATGAGTCACTGAGCCCAGCCTATTATTCTTTTCAAACATTTTTTTATATATAGAAAATATCTCTGTTTGTGTGTTTTGTTTCTTTTAAGAGATGAGGGTCTCTATGTGGCCTAGGCTGGAGTGTAATAGTTATTCACAGGTGTAATCATAGCACACTATAGCCTCAAACTCAACTCAAGCAAACCTGCCTCAGCCTCCTGAGTAGCTGAGACATCAGGCACGAGCCTCCATGCTGGCTTATCTATTTTTGATATATTAATTCATAACTTGCTATTTTACTAAGTATTGGTCAATAATATGCAAATACTTAGTGCTTCCTGTGCGGTAGGCACCATTTTTAAATGCTTATATTAACTCATTTAATCCTGCGAGGATAGGTGCTGTAATTATCATCTACATCTTAAAGCTGTGAACCGAGGTACACACAAAGAGACTTCTGTAACTTGACCTGGTCATGTGTGGGGAAAGGAAGGCCTTGGCACCAATAAACGCCCTCTTTGATGTGCATCAGGCGTGAGAACCATACGCTTCTGGTGCAGGATTCATTGTTGGTCTCTATGTTTTATCTGCGATCTTTGTTTGGCTGGGGAACTCTGCCTAGGGCTGGTGCCTGTGTGGAATCGATATTTAGATCAGTCTAATGTCCTGTGGCAGATGGAACTAAGAGTGTGGTGACAGCAAACACTGGCCTGTCCATTCAGTCAGCCACGTAACACCCCAGCGATAACTGCCCTCACACACCAGATCCTTTGAGTCCTGTAGTTCACATATATGCTAAGCTCAGAATTGAAGAGACCCTGTGTTTACTGTATCTCTTGCTGAATTTGCGGTCATCTCACGTAAATTCCTAGTATAAGTTGATTTTTCTCCCACAGAATTAGCAATTACAAGTTCTGATATCAAGAATTGAAAAAGAGAAAGACTGCTGTTTTAACCAACTGAAACCATTCATTCACTGTGTCTTAAGCACAGTTTTGCTTCCTGTTGATATATGCTTGGTAGTTATAAAACAGTGGATTCATATTGTTCAACCACATTAGCAAAGAACAAAAAAATATGTGTTTTTTTGAGTTGGAGTCTCAGTCTCTGCCAGGCTGGAGTGCAGTGGTATGATCACTGATCACCGCAGCCTCAACCTCCTGGTCTCATGTGATCCTTCCACCTCAGACTCCCAGGTAGCTGGGACTACAGGCACACACTGTGCAGAGAAGAGGTCTTGCTATGTGCCCCGGCTCATCTCAATCTCCTGGGCTCAAGCAATCCTCCCACTTCAGCCTCCCAAAATGCTGGGATTACAGGCGTGGGCCGCCGTGCCCTTATCTTTATGACCCTGTTCCTAGGCCCATGGTCTCTACTCACCCAGGGTCACAGCAACAGTTTACAAAGACACACAGTTCTTGGATCTGGGCCCCAAAGGGCCCTGGAGCTTATTGTGTAAAATGTGGCACCCGCATAGCTCATTTCTGCCCCAGGTATTTTGTGCCCTTTGAATCTGCAAGCAGGTTTCTTCTAAAATTAAAGGAGCAAGAAATATCTTTCTCTTGCAGTCAGATTTTTACTATCAAAACAACGTTTTGAGAATTAAATATAGATAAATATGTATTTATATTTAATATGAATCAGGTCTATTTTATATAATTCATTGCCAACAGACTATAATAGGATACAAAGATGAGTTTTCTTTTGTGGCATCCAAGAGTTAAAACTACAGGGTATGGTTGGAACTTTCTCTTTTTTTTGAGTTAGAGTCTCACTCTGTCGCCCAGACTGGAGTGCAGTGGCCTCTCCCGACCACCGCAGCCTCAACCTGCTGGGCTCTGGCGATCCTTCCGCCTCAGCCTTCCGAGTACCCGGAATTACAGGCATGCGCTACCACACCCGGCTGATTTTTGATTTATTGTAGAGATGAGGTCTTGCCAAGTTGCCCAGGCAGCTCTCGAACCCGCAGGCTCAGGCAATTCACCCACCTCAGCCTCCCAAAAGCCCAGGATTACAGGCTGAGCCACCGAGCCCGGCTGGAACTTTCTCTTAAAGTGATAAAAGCCTCAGCGAACAGCCCTGTTGTATCTTGCTGGGGTCAGCAGGCAGGCACAGGGAGCCATACCTTGGCACCAGCCCCCAGACGCCCCTGCACACGGAGAGGAGACCCTGCCAGCTGTTTTTCTCCAGAGCCACCGCCCTCGGGCAGTGCTGAGCGCCTTGACTCCCGGCATCAGGGACACAATTACTCCCCAAACTTGTTGTTCTGGTTTGTTAACAGAATTAGAAGAAAGGTGTGTAAGTATCGACACAAAAGAACTGTAGGAGGGAGGAGAAGACCAAAGCTACAGAATCAGTTAAGTATGAAAATATCCTTGTAAATCCAAGCCTTGCACTTTCTAGAGCTCCTTAAGGGCGTTGCCCTATTTCTCCATTTCTTGGGTTAGTCATGTTGCAGTGATTGCTCATAATGACCCCAATTATCAAGGAAATGTAGAATTACATTTAGAATATGATTTAAGGCTGGGCTCGGTGGCGCAGCCTGTAATCCCGCGCTTTGGGAGGCTGAGGTGAGTGGATTGCCTGAGCCCACGGGTTCGAGACCCACCTGGGCAACTTGGCGAGACCTCATCTCTACAATAAATCAAAAAATTAGCCGGGCATGGTAGCGTGTGCCTGTAGTTCCAGCTACTTGGAAGGCTGAGGGGGAAGGATCGCCGGGACCCAACTGGTCAAGGCTGTGGTGGCCGGGAGCGGCCACTGCACTCCAGTCTGGGCAACAAAGTGAGACTCCAACTCAAAAAAAAAAGAATATGATTTAATAAGCCAGACGTGGTGGCTCACGCCTGTAATTCCAGCACTTTGGGAGGCGGAGGCAAGAGAATTGCCTGTGCCCAGGGGTTCGAGACCAGCCTGGACAATTTGGCAAGACCTCATCACTACAATAAATCGAAAAAATAACCAGGTGTGGTGGTGCAGGCCTGTGGTTCCAGTTACTTGGAAGGCTGAAGTGGAAGGATCACCTGAGCCTGTCAGGTTGAGACTGCAGTGGCCATGATTGCACTCCAGCCTGGGCAGCAGAGTGAGGCTCCTACTCAAAAAAAAAAAAAAAAAAAAACCAAAAGAATATGGTTTAATAGAGCAGAGATGGACTGTATTTTTAAATTTAAAAATAAGGCTAGGTGCGATGACTCATGCCTGTAATCCTAGCACTTTGGGAGGCTGAGGTAGGAGGATTGCTTGAGCCCAGGATTTGGAGACCAGCCTGGGCAACACAGCAAGACCTCGTCTCTCCAAAAAATTTAAAAAATTATCTGGACATGGTGGCACAGGTCTGTCCCAACAACTTTGGGAGGCTGAGGCAGAAGGATGTCCCAAACCCAGGAGATCAAGATTGTGGTGAGCCAAAATTGTGTCACTGCCCTCCAGCCTGGATGATGAAGTAAGACTCCCCCCCAACTCAAGAAATAAATTAATGAATTAAAAAAAGATTACAAGTTTTTATAAGGTGAATTTATGAGACTAGGAATAGTTATTATTGATCGTTTATTATTCAAATATTTATTATTGGTAGTTATTTATTATTGGTTTCGTGGGTCTATTTCATGTTGTCCATGAACTTTTTAAAGTTGTGTGCAAACTTACATATGTGCATGTGTCCCTCTTCCATGGTGTTACGGTCTGAGTATATGCTTGGCTGCTGTCTCTTGACATCATCACATCGAGAGGCAGGGAACTGGCAGAAAGTTTATTTCTGAATTCAGAATTCAGGGAACAGAACCTGGCTCCTGGCATTTCTGGAAACAGTCTGCTCACTACTTAGGTTTCACAGTTCATTTTTATAAGTTTAGAGTTTCTGGTACCTATACATTGCGTGACTGACAGGGTATTGTATAGAACTCAAGTTACAGTTGCATTTTGTTAACAGAATTTATGGTCTGTGTTTCCTGGCACTAGCTTCCAAAAGGTAGTTCTCAGTGCTCTCAGTAACACCAGACTGAAGAGTTGAATAAGTTTGCCATAGAATAAAGGAGCCAACAGAGCCTATTACAAAGTAAAACATTATTCACTGCAACATATTGTTTTGTTTTTGTTTTTTTTTGAGTTGGAGTCTCACTCTGTCGCCCAGACTGGAGTGCAGTGGCCGGGAACGGCCACGGCAACCTCGATCTGCTGGGCTCCGGTGATCCTTCTGCCTCAGCCTTCCAAGTAGCTGGAACTAAAGGCGCGTGCTACCATACCTGGCTAATTTTTGATTTATTGTAGAGATGAGGTCTCGCCAAGTTGCCCAGGCGGGTCTTGAACCCGTGGGCTCAGGCAATCCACTCACCTCAGCCTCCCAAAGGCGTGGGATTACAGGCTGAGCCACCGAGCCCGGCTTCATATTGTTGATTAGTAGTTATAACATGCAAAAATTTATATAAATGTCAAGGCTTATGGTTATATGGGTGCCGTATTTTCAAATCTATGACCACTTATAAAAGGGCGTAGGGACTCATTTCTCTCAGTTGAGTGAGCGCCGTCTACAGGGGGTTAGGGGTCTTTGAAGTGACTTAACAGGGACTGTATAAGAGATAAGGGGATACACTTTCTCAGGAATATAGGTACGTGCAAACCTGCTCAAAAGTTATACCTTTCTTTAAGTGTTGTAGTGATATGGACAGACAATCATGGGTTTCTGTGTCAAGGGGAGAAGGGAGACTCCGTAGCTTTCACCAGATTCTCAAAGAAGAATAAGCCCCCAAATAGTTAAGAACCAGTGAATCATATAAGAACACTGCAACCAAGCCAGAGAAGTGTGTTCATCTCAAACTTGGAGATGGGATCGTGACACTTGGCATCCAAAACAGGTTGTTAAGTTGTGGTTAAATTTAGAGAGATGATGAAGCTGGAAACCTCTTAGAACTGTGGAAAAGAAACTTTCAACAAACCGAGTCGAGTGGTCGAATCTGCTTCTGTTAGCAATTCATGAACCGGGCAGCAACCCATCCATGAAACAGAAGGGTTGAGCACAGAGGTGAGCTTTACAGGCAGAAGAAGGGTGAAAAAAGCAGAAATGAGGAACCAAAGGCGAACTGGGCATTTCAAAGTCAGGGTGGGTGAAAGCAGAAGGGACTTCCTTGTCCTTCCAGCTCAGGGTGACTGGGCCCTTTCTAACGGATTACTATGAATCTTCTGGGGTTTTTTGCTTTTGAAGACTGGCCCATGTTAAAGTTCGATTTGATTACATGACACCTAGCACAAGTGACCCCATCCTGGTTGCTCTGATCTGCCAGAGCCCAGTGCAGGAGCTCTAGCCTGACAAATGGCCTCCCATCAATTTTGTTTAACAGGCAGACACAGTTTGGGCTTCCATTTCCTCTTAGAACACTGCTATCGTCTTTGCTGTCTTCCTTACAGGGCCACAGCGCACATTAGCTGTAAGGCCAGAGGCATCTTTTTTTTTTTTTTGAGTTGGAGTCTCACTCTGTCGCCCAGACTGGAGTGCAGCGGCCGTTCCCGGTCACCGCAGCCTCGACCTGCTGGGCTCCAGCGATCCTTCCACCTCAGCCTTCCGAGTAGCTGGAACTACAGGCGTGCGCTACCACGCCCGGCTGATTTTTTTTTTTTTGATTTATTGTAGAGATGAGGCCTCGCCAAGTTGCCCAGGCGGGTCTCGAACCCACGGGCTCAGGCAATCCACTCACCTCAGCCTCCCAAGGCGCGGGATTACAGGCTGAGCCACCGAGCCTGGCTCGGCCAGAGGCATCGTTAGGTTGGCCTCTGCTTAGTCAACCCCTTTCCAAGCCCTGCAGTTAAAAATAGCCTGTTCTCCAGCCAGACAGACACACAGCGTCTGCCTTCATTGGGAATTGATCCCATTCCCTTCTCACTGCTGAGCCAGACTCGGGGCCAGGACACCATCTGTGAATGTTTTGAGGGAAGGGGGATGGGAAGCTTCAGGAAAGGGGGAAGCCTGTCTTTGCTGCTCTATCATTAGGAGGCAACGCATCAGTCAGAGATGCCAATCAAAAGCTTGCTCTGGCATCCGATGTGAAACGTTACAAATGTACTGAATCTCTGGGACACAGTTTTGTTGTTGTTGTTGTTTATAGTCAGGGCCTCACTCTGTCACCCAAGCTGAAGTGCAGTGGCACCATCACGGCTCATGATAGCCTGGACATCCTGTGTTCAGATGACCCTTTTGCCTAGGCCCCCCGAGGAGCCGGGACTATAGGCATGTGCCACCACGCCTAGCAAATTTTTTTATTTTTTGTAGATATGAGGTCTCCCTCTGTTGCCCTGGCTGGTCTGGGTTATTTTTAATAGCAGGGAGTTTTTTTTTTTTTTTTTTTTAGAGGCAGGATATCACTTTGTTGTTCAGGCTGTACCTGAACTCCTGGGCTCAAGCGATCCTCCCACTGTGGCCTCCTGATTACAGGCATGTATCACTGCACCCAGTTTGTCTTTTTCCAAAATCGTATTAATCTAGGGCCATCATTTTTGCGTTTCTGACTTTAAGAGATCTTTAAACAAATCATTTTCATGTATAATATACATATATTGCAAGAATGTCATACAGTACAGAAAATACAGGAAAAATCAAAATTCCTTCCTTTCCCAGAACTCCTAGGTTCATTTCCTAGAGTTCCACTTGAGATTTTTATGTATCTTTCCAGAAAATATGTATATCCTTTAAAACAGCAGTCCCCAACCTTTTTGGCATCAGGGACTGGTTTCGTGGAAGATAATTTTTCCACAGACTGGGTTGCGGGGGATGGTTTTGGAGTGATTCAAGTACATTACATTTATTGTGCACTTTATTTCTATTATTATTACACTGTAATATATAATGAAATGATTCTGCATCTCACCGGAACGCAGAATCAGTGGGAGCCCTGAACTTGTCTTCCTGCAACTAGATGGTCCGTCTGGGGGTGATGGGAGACAGTGCTAGCCTCACCACCTAAGCTCTGCCTCAGATCATCAGGCATTAGATTCTCATAAGGAGCAAGCAGCCTAGATCCTTCGCATGTGCAGGTCACAATAGGGTTCCCGCTCCTAGGAGGAGGATCTAATGCCGCCGCTGATCTGACAGAAGACGGAGTTCAGGTGATCATGCAAGCAATGGGGAGCGGCTGTAAATACAGATGAAGCTTGCCCGCTTCTCACCTCCTGCTGTGTGACCCTCCTTGTGTATATATTGTGGCATATTGTGTAAGTTTGTTTGTTTGTTTTGAGTTTGGGTCTCACTTTGTTGCCCAGGCTATAGCACAATTGTGGCTCACTGCAGCCTGGACCTCCTGGACTCAGGTGATCCTTCTACCTCAGCCTCCCAAGCAGCTGGGAGTACAGGCATGCTACCACACACCGCTAATCTTTTGGTTTTTTGCAGAGACAGGGCTCGCTATGTTGCCCAGACTGGTCTTGAACTCCTGGGTTCAAGCAGCCCTCCCACCTTGGTCTCCCAAAGTGCTGGGATTACAGGTGTGAGCCACCGTGCCCAGCCCATGTGAGTTATTTATAAAGCAAATTCCTAGTAGTGGCATTGCTACTCAGAAGATCTGTGCTTTGGAATCTGTCGAATTTGGTAGGTGCTATCAAATAACCTTCCAAAAAGGTTGCACACCCTCCATCAGTGGATGAGAGTACCTATTTCCCTCCATCTTCACTGACACAGGGTGCTTTCAAACTTTTTTTTTTTGAGTCGGAGTCTCACTCTGTCACCCAGGCTGGAGTGCAGTGGCATGCTCACAGCCACTGCAGCCTTGACCTGGTGGGCTCAGGTGATCCTTCCACCTCAGCCTTCCAAGTAGCTAGAACTACAGGCGCACGCCACCACACCCAGTTAATTTTGCTTGATTTATTGTAGAAAGGAGGTCTTGCCAAGTTGCCCAGGCGGGTCCCAAACCCATGGGCTCAGGCAATTCCCTGGCCTTGGCCTCCCCAAGTGCTGGGATTATAGGCGTGAGCCACTGCACCTGGCTTCAAACTTATTTTTGTCAGACTAAGAAGCCAAATGAAATTTCATTGTTTTGTGTTTATTTATTTTATTGATTTAAAGCATAGACTTATTTTTAAAATAAATACTTGTTGGTTTCTTTTGATTTTAAGAATCAGAAGTCTCTCTTTTTTTTTTTTGCTTTTTTCCACTTTTCTGCTAAGTATATTGTGCAACCCATTTCTTATGATTTTGGTGTTTTCTTTAGAAGATCAACTTCCTAAATTGGGTAATGAGTAAAATACATTGTGGGGGAAGATGAGATTCTCTTTCTGTCTTTGTTTTCGTTTAAAGTCTCGGTTGCCATGGTTGAGCTAGTATTTCAGTTGATCCCTCCACCTCCGAGCTTTAGCAAGGTCTTCTGAGATCGTTTTAATCATTTGATTGGTGGTTTCTTTCAACACAGTTGCTGTCCTCAGGGCATGGTCCAGAGCTGAGTGTAAAATCTGGGGAGGAAAGGCCCGCACATGGTCATTGCATGAACGCACAGCTGTTTCTGTGAATGGGGTTGCCTCGTTATGAAACACCCTAAGGTGGAATGTTTGGAGGAATCTGTTTCCCATGTAGCCTATTTCCGTTTTGAGCGCTGGTTTCCTAGGAAACCGGCCTGCAATGGCATCTGTTAGGGAAAGGAACCAGCATGTGACAGATGAGGTGGCACTGGGGAGGTGAGGTCGGCCACCCGAGGGCTGCAGAGAAAACAGGCGAGCTCCTGAGCCATGGAAGGGGACTTGGGGCTGCAGGGGACTTGGGGCCACAGTTGCGGTGGGCGCCCAGGGACAGCCACACGGAAACCCTGGAAAGGGCCAGAGCTGGGTATTTCCCACTTGAAAATAGGAAACTGCTGGCGGCCCTGGGTCACTGGAACAGAGCCCGGGCCTGGCCAGGGGACCCCCCCCACAGTCCAGGCCCCACCCACAAAACACTTTCCCCAGGAAACTTCCCTTGGAGCCAGTTCAGAAATAATCCAGACTGTGCCCTGCCAAGGCTGCAAACCTTTAGGTTAATGCTGAGCACAGCATTGCTGAGGGTTGTTTTGTGATTTTTTTTTTTTGAGTCAGTCTCACTCTGTGGCCCAGGCTGGAGCACAGGGCATGATCACGGCTCGTTGCTGCCTCAACCTCCTGGGCTCAGGCGATCCTCCCACCTCAGCCTCCTGAGTAGTTGGGACCATAAGCATGCACCACCACATCCAACTAATTTTTCGACTTTTTTGGTATAGATGAGGTCTCACCATACAGATGCTGATCTCCAACTCCTGGGCTCAGGCAATCCTCCCTCCTCAGCCTCCCAAAGTGCTGGGATTCCAGGCGTGAGCCACCGCACCCAGCCAGAACTGTTTCTAGCGGTGCATTTTCCGCAGCCCTGATACTACAGGAACTTAAAGGCAGCCTGCCCTGTGGTCACCAGGACCACATTTAGGACTGCGAAGGCTCCAGAATGTTCCGTCTAAGTCTCACCTCGATTGTAGTTTCCTCAGTGCTCTCCAAGTCACAGAAGGATTTGCTTCCAGAACTCCGGCAGGAGTGGGAGTGGAGTGAGGCCGCTGCAAGGTCTGAGCTGCAGGTCATGAGAGCCCAAGGGTTTTTTCTAGAAGGCAGAAGCACATGGGGTACGTGTGTTTGGCACACTCTCTGCTCAGGGCAGCTCCAGCTCGGGAAGGTGAGGTTTGCACACCCCCTACCTGCTGCGGCTCTCAGAGGCTGACCACGGCTGAGCCTCAGAACAAGGTTGTGGCCGGGACCATGAGGGCATTTCTTCCCAAAACGTGTCTCCTTTTCCTTTGGTCCAGAAAGAATCAAGACTCCAAAGAGAATTTTCTATTAGTTTTCATTTTGGAGGGACCAACCTTCCACCCTGCATATTTATAAACACACACACTCACAACTAACTGTCCACTGCAGGCACTGAGGGGCGAGCTCATTTTAGCACCAGTGAGCTGACACCCCGAGGAGGCCAGGGCCTTAGAAAAAACACAAGCAGCACAAGCTGGGCAGGGTGGCACGCATCTGTGGTCCCAACTCCTTGGGAGGCTGAGGCAGGAAGATTGCCTGAGCCCAGGAGGCCAAGGCTCTGGTGAACTGTGGTTGTGCCACTGCGCTCCAGCCTAGGAGACAGAGGGAAACCCCAACTCATGAAATAATAAAATAAAATAGATCATGAGTGTTGAAAATTTTTTAAAAAGTAAATGGGCTCCCCTTGACTATGATAATGAAGATTCTGTCTCCGGAGTGGCCCTAAGTCGGCCCTGGGTGCATGCGGGGTGCAGGGCCACTTGGTTGTCCAGGTTGTGCATGGTGCGGGGGTATCCACATAGCCTGGAAAGGCACTGCTTGGAGTCAGGCTTTCTGCAACCAGAAGTAGTGGGCCTAGGAGGTGTCACAGCAGCTCACCTGTCCATAGGGCTGTCCTCGGGTCACTATCCCAGGGCCACCGTGGCATCTCCTGGCTCAGTTCCTGTGCTTGGCATTGCTTCTGTGGTGCACCCGACCCTCTCCAAGCCTCCCTTCAATGCTGGTGACCTCAGGCCTCTCCATCCCGCCCCTCCACCATGTCCACCCTCGCTGGCTCTGCAGGTGGGTCTACTGCGGGATCCACCCGCCGGTGAGAGGTGACCTGGCATCGGGGGCCCTAGCTAAGGAGTAGCTCTAGGCACAGGGTGGCAGTGTGGCACAGGGCAGAGCATTGTCGCCCAGGCTGGAGTGCGGTGGCACGATCATGGCTCACCGCAGCCTTGGCCTCCCGGGCTCTAGTGATCCTCCCACCTCAGCCTCCCGAGTAGCTGGAGCTACAGTTGTGCACTACCACACCTGGCTGATTTTTTGGATTTTTTTGATATTGCCCAGGCTCGTCTTGAACTCCTGAGCTCAAGCGATCCTCACGCCTCAGCCACCCAAAGTGCTGGGATTACAGGAGTGAGCCTCCAAGCCCCCATGGTCCTTGTAAGTTTCTTCATTCTTTTTTATTTTATTTTATTTTTTATTTGTTTTTTGAGTTGGAGTCTCACTCTGTCGCCCAGACTGGAGGGCAGTGGCCGCTCCCGGCCACCGCAGCCTCGACCTGCTGGGCTCTGGCGATCCTTTCGCCTCAGCCTTCCGAGTAGCCGGAATTACAGGCGCACGCTACCACGCCCGGCTAATTTCTTGATTTATTGTAGAGATGAGGTCTCGTCTGCCCAGGCGGGTCTCGAACCCGCGGGCTCAGGCACTCCGCTCACCTCAGCCTCCCAAAGGCGCGGGATGACAGGCTGAGCCACCGAGCCCGGCTCCGTTTCTTCATTCTTATCCTTTGGAGCTCAGCTTCCCTGAATCCCCAAATTGGGTCAATAGCACTTTGTACCTCCCCTTCTTGGCATTTAGGAAGACTGTCCAGCTCTTCTACCGAAAAACTGAGTCCCACGAGAGCAAGGACAGTGGCTGACTTTGTCACTGTGTCCTCAGCACCCTAGCACAATGACCTGCTTTTGACGCGCAAGCAGTTGTTGAATGAATACATGAATGACTGAGGTCTTAAGCGGGCTTAGGCATTGAATCCTGGCTCTCTTGCTGTTGTCTCGGTGACTTCGGGTAGGTATTCAATGCACTCACAAGTACATTGGATGGGTCCAACTGATGACAGGTGTTTTTGTTGTTAGTAGTAATAATAATAAGACTTACTTGCCTGGTGTGGGCTCACGTTGACCTTGGAAGGACTTGGAATTCACTGTCTGGGAACAGATCTGTTTTGGTTTTGAATAAGCTGAAAAATGATCAAATGCAGAGTATCAAAAGCAACCCCAAAATGGTGCACATGAATCACTTCCTGAGCGTTTCTGTATGAATGAAATATTTCATGAAATTTTAGTAAATTAGGGAACATAGAAAACAACTTTCTTTTTATTGTTTGATTTTTTTTTTTTTTTGAGTTGGAGTCTCACTCGGTCGCCCAGACTGGAGTGCAGTGGCCGCTCCCGGCTGCCACAGCCTCGACGTGCTGGGCTCTGGCGATCCTTCCGCCTCAGCCTTCCGAGTAGCCGGAATTACAGGCATGCGCTGCCACGCCCGGCTGATTTTTTGATTTGTTGTAGAGATGAGGTCTTGCTGCCCAGGCAGGTCTTGAACCCGCGGGCTGAGGCAATCCACTCACCTCAGCCTCCCAAAGGCGCGGGATTACAGGCTGAGCCACTGAGCCCGGCGAAAACAACTTTCTATCAAGTATTCTGAGTCCAGGAAAATAAATTCAACTTTTAAGATGAGTTTTAAAGCTGGGAGTGGTGACTCATGCCTGCAATCCCAGCACTTTAGGAGGCCGAGGCAAGAGGATTGCCTGAGCTCAGGAATTTGAGACCAGCCTGGGCAACATGGCAAGACCTCATCTCTACAATAAATAAAAAAATTAGCCAGGCGTGGTGGCGCATGCCTATGGTTCTAGCTACTTGGAAGACTGAGGCAGAGGGATCACCTGAGCCCAGCAGGTCGAGGCTGCAGTGGCCATGAGTGTGCCACTGCACTCCGGTCTGAGTGACAGAGTGAGACTTCCACTTAAATAAATAATAAATAAAATAAATAGAGTCTGGGGTGGTGCTCACACCTATATTTCCAGCATTTGGGGAGGACAAGGTGGGAGGATTGCTTGATCCCAGGAGTTTGAGACCTTGTCTCTACAAAAAAATTTTAAAAATTAGCTGAACATGGTGGTGCACACCTGCAGTCCCAGCTACTTGGGAGGCTGAAGTGGGAGGATTGCTTGAGCTCAAAAGTTTGAGGCTGTCATGTCACTGTACTCTAGCCTGGGGGGTCTCAAAACAAAAAACAAAACAAAACAAGAAACTGAGTTTTATTAGCAGGACAAGAGACCGGGAGTTTAGGTTCCTTGGGTGCTAGCTGTGTGACCCGCACATGTTGTCTAACTTCTCTGGGCTCAACTAGCACATCTGATCAATGGGAGGATAATAGCTTCCAAGGGGTTGGACCGGATGGATTCCTGGAATCCTCTCTGACGTTGGGAGTCAGGATTCTAGGAATCAGAGGCTGTCGACTGTGTTACTGAAACAATTCCAGAAAACAGAGACTAAACAGAGAAGCAGATAAAGGTGGAAAGCTCACCCAGGACGACAAGAGACAGCCAGGGGAGGAGCCAGTGGCCAAGAGCCCGCCTGCTCCGTCACAAGACCCCTGCTCCCTGTCCTGCCCTCTCCTGCTTTTCCCTCTCTCCCTCCAGCCCTCCCGCCTCCCTGCCCGCCTCAGGAAGTCCCAGTGGACCGGGGAAACTGGGAGAGCCCATCCCCCAGGACGGAGGCCAGAAGGCCAGACGCAGGTGTCACAGGCTGTAGACCCAGCGACAGAGAAGGTGGCCATGGTATCTGTCCTGTGGCTACTGCGGTCTTAGCGACTGTCACTTTGGAATAATCTGGCAGCTAGGGGTGGGAAGGGGGGACACAGCTGGGGTCAGGCAGGCAAATGACTTTTTTTTCGAGTCAGGGTCTCACTCTGTCGCCTGTGTTAGGTGGCGGTGGCATGATCACGGCTCGCCACAGCCTCCACCTCCTGGGCCCATGCAATCCTCTTGTCTCCGCCTCCCAAGTAGCTGGGACTACAGGCTCACACTCCCTTGTCCGGCTAATTTTTTTATTTATTGTAGAGATGAGGTTTCGCTATGTTGTCCAGGCTGGTCTCGAACCCTCGGGCTCAAGCCAGGCTCTGCCTTGGCCTCCCAAAGTGCTGGGATTACAAGTGTGGGCATCCGTGATCGTGAAAGATGAGAAGCCTTCCCCCTGGTGCCCAGAGCCAGAAAGGGAGAGGAAGCGCTCTGAAGGTTTGAAGGAAAGGATGCAGTCCCTGTCGGAGAACCATTATGGCTGTCTTTCAGGGATAAACTGAGGCATGTCTCCTTCCGTCTTCGTGTTCTCTGGACACACTTTGCCGACTTGTAGCGGTTACCTCATTGTTGCCTTGAACTTCTCTTATTTGGGTGTAAGTTCCCTTCTCTCAAGAGATTGTAAACTCCTCAACAGGGGAGGAGCCATGCCATTCATCTTTATAACTACCTACTTGTGGGGTTTTACTTTTTTTTCAAAGATGGCCAATGTTTTCATTGGAAATTATCAACACGATGTCTAAGAAGTGTAAAAATCATCTATTTCTGGCTGGGCATGGTGGCTCACCCCTGTCATCCCAGCACTTTGGGAGGCCGAGGCAGGAGGACTGCTTGAGTCCAGGAGTTCGAGACCAACCTAGGCAACCTAGCAAGACTTCATCGCTACTAAAGATCAAAACATGAGTCAGGTGTGGTAGTACGTGCCTGTAGTTCCAGCTGTTTGGAAGGCTGAGGCGGAAGGATCACCCGAGCCCAGGAGGTCGGGGCTGTGGTGAGCCATGATCGTGCCACTGCCCCCCAGCCTGGGCAACAGAGTGAAACTCTGACCAGAAAAAAAAAGGAAGGGAGGGAGGGAGGGAAGGAGGGAGGGAGGAAGGAAGACCCGCCTACTTGTCTACAGGCTAACTTTTAGTAGGGATCTATTGAAAGCATTAGCCACCCCTGAACAGCAACAGTAATCGTGGTGATTATCCAGCAAATATTAAAGGGCTGTGACCAACTTGCGCAGACATAGCACCTAGTGACCTCCAAAGTTCTTGGTCACTGGGACTTCACATTTTCCAGCCCCAGCTCAGACTCCGGCCTTCCAGGCATAGGACAGGATGTGGAAGGTGTCAGGCGAGTGTAGGAGACCCGGGTAGCAGAAGGGAGAGGCCAGGGCTCCCCACACAGAAGCAGTGACCCATCGCACAAGGGTGCCCCGCACCTGGGAGTTCAGGCTGTCGTCCTAGGTGGGCTCATGCAGGAGATGTACTTACGAGGTGAAGCATTTTTTCTTTCCTCTAAAGAACGGGGCTGGACAAGGGCACCTCTTTCGCTATGATTTAAGTAATTCTGTCCCGGGCTGTTGTATCTGTAATGAAATTCTAAAGAGAAAACATTAAGAATACAGTTGAGACTGTGTGTGATGGCTCCTGTCTGTAAGTCCCAGCACTTTGCGAGGCTGAGACGAGAGGATTGCCTGCGCCCAGGAGGTTGAGACCGGCTGGGCAACATAGCAAGACCTCATCTCTACAAAAAAAAAATTTTTTTAATTAGCCAGGCATGGTGGCATGCACCTGTAGTCCCAGCTACTTGGGAGGCTGAGGCAAGAGGATCGCCGGAGACCAAGAGGTCGAGGCTGCAGTGAGCCGTGATCGTCTCATCTTCAGGCAGTTTGTGGCCACAGACTCTTCTGGAGTCGGGACTCTGAGAGTCACAGACTTCGCCCTGATGACTTTGCAGACCCGTGCCAGAATCAGAATGGAAGCTGCAATTTATGCCAGAACCTGAAAAAGCGAGTTCTGTGATGTAGGCGGACACCGCTTGGTGACAGTCACCAGATGAGGTGTGCAGAGCAGAGCTCCATCCATGCAGGACATGTGTTAGACACCAAAGTGTCCGACCTCCCCAACTGTGTGACTACTGGGAGCTGCCAGCCTTGGGGTGACATTTGAGATCCCCTACTGACAACTGACAGATGTTTGTTGCTGTTGTTGTTTGTGTTGTCTATAAGTCAACATTCTGTCGCCCAGGCTGGAGGATAGTGGCAATCGTGGCTGACCGCAGTCTTGCCCTCCTGGGCTCAGGCGATCCTTCCACCTCAGCCTCCTGAGTAGCTAGGACCACAGGCATACACCACCACGCCTCTTTAATTTTTAATTTCTTGTGGCGATGAGGTCTCACTACTATGCTGCCCAGGCTGGTCTTGAACTCCTGGGCTCAAGCAGTCCTCCCTTCTCAGTCTCCCAAAGTACTGAGATTATAGGCATGAGCCACCACGCCCGGCCTTGGCTACGTCTTATTTAAACCTATTCAATTGCCGGGCTCGGTGCCTCAGCCTGTAATCCACGCCTTTGGGAGGCTGAGGTGAGTGGATTGCCTG